GGAGTAGTGAGAGGACAGACTGGACTGCAAAGAGGGTTGCTGTTGACAGTGCACACACAGACTGTTGCCGCCGTTGTTGACTGTGCGTGAATGGCTGCTGCATACTGGGCGCGAAACTGCTGCTGCGTCCGTTGACTATGCGCGACCTGCTGCTGCCTTTGTTAACTGTATACAGACTGTTGTTAATTGCTGGGATGGTGATGTTGTTGCCCTTAGCCGTGTGCGGGCCTGTTAGCGGAGGCTGCTGCGGGTGGGCCTGATCGCCGTTGCTACTGCTGTTGATACCGTGAGTACGGCGGTTGTTTAGAGCCGTGTGATTGCGGCTCCACCGCAGGGGATGAAGGTGTGGAATAGAGGGAGTGATTGGGCTGTAAAGAGAGATAGTGTTGCGATCAGGGAGGGTGTTAGAAGGGCAGTATTTCGACAGTTTGACTTCGGGGGTTTGACCAAGCTGTTGCAAGTTGGCTGCCATTGCGGGGCCCTCAGGTGCGTCAAGGATTCAAGGCCCTCTCGTGCGAGTCTGAGAGCCCCCCTCTTGGATCTGAGAGTCTCAAATCCATCTACCTCTGCCCTTCTTATTCTAAGTCTAGTCTGTTGGTTCTGAGAGGAAGGCGGCAGGCGGGATTGCAACCCGTAATCCGCGCCAAGGCCTTTATGTGCAACCTCAATTTCGATTTTGTTGATTGCCAGAAGGCAGATTGTGAACAGAAAGGGGTTGCATCTGGGGAAAGGTTGGGTGAAAGGTGGTTTGGCCTGAGACTGACAAGGTCCTATGAGGTCAGGCATGCTCCATAAGATTGGACGGCCTGACCGCTGTGTTTATTTTTGAATTGCATGGAGAATCAGACCAGTTCCATAAGATTGGACGGTCTGATTGCTCTGGATTGTGAGGGTTTGACTGTGGCTGACTTTTCAGGGGCCAAACCTGTACCATAAGATTGGAGGGTTTGATTGCCATGTTTGGTTCGGGTTTTGGTCTGCTTCTTTTGTTGTTGGTCGAGGAGGTCTGGGCAAGTCCATAAGATTGGACGGCTCAGCCCGTTCCTGTTTCATTTTGAGGGAGCAATTCTCGCTGAGGGCAAGGCATGTCCATAAGATTGGACGGCTTTGGACTCATGCCGCACAAAGTTGGATTAGAGAGAAACGAACCTGGCAAAGGACCAGATATGTTCCATACGATTGGACGGTCTGGCCCAATGCCTCGCACATGTTGGAACCCAAAAGGCTAAATTTTGGTTATATTTTATAATATCCTATCTATGAACAGGCTAGCCAGGCATGGGTTCCATAAGATTGGACGGTCTGGCTATAGCTTATCATGAAATGAAGAGAGTATAACTAAGAGTATAACTGAAGGTAACCCTGGGCAGGTCGGGCCTTGTTCTAAGATGAACGGCTCAGTCCTATGCCCAGCAGTTGAACACTAAGCGCAGAGAGATATATATAATTTGGATATTAAACAGTTCAGGGCGGCTGAGCCTTGTTCTAAGATAAACGGCTTAGTCATATGCCCCAAAAGGAAGAGAGAAGTAGTTGTGCAACCTGTTCGTGTATACTCAATGGCTGAGTCAGGCAGGTTCCATAAGATTGGACGGCTTGACTTTATGCCCTATGTAAGCTGGGTATAAGGGAATAAAGCATCGAGAGATTACGAACTATTGTTTGCAAAGCTTGACCTGGGGTGGCGAGAGTACTTACCTTTGTGGTTTGGCCTACATGTGACTGAGTGAGGCTACTACTTGGTCTGAGTTTCAGTTTTGACAGGTAGTTGCTTTAGAGGCTCGCTACGTGCTAGAGCGATAGGAGTTAGTTTCAACTTCTGCATCTTCTGGGCTAAGTTTTTTTACTTAGATTGATTCTCGCATTTTCTGAGATCTTTTATTATACTTGGCTTTGTATAAATTTTGGTAAGCTACTTTCTGAACGGGAAGCGCTGCCGAAATTTTTGCAAATCCAGGGAGTTAGTCAAATTTTTGACTTCTCAAAGTTCAACTTGTCGTTCATAAATGGCTTAATCAAAATCTAGAAAGTCTCCTTTTCTAAAGGGATTGCTGCCCAAATTTTTGCTAATTCAGGGAGTTAGACAAAATTGGACTTTGGAAAGTCAAATACTATTTCTGTTTTCATATTCGGGCTGATATAAATTCGGAAAGGCACTTTTCCTACGGGAAGCGTTGCCGAATTTTTCTTGGTTTAGAGGAGTTAGATTATATTTTGACAGGTGGCGATTTTTGCGATCCACCCTGAATAGGGGAGATCCTACCGTTAGTCTACCTTTGCTTTGGGCATTGGCTTAGATGTAGACTTAGACATAGTTGGCAGATGACTTTGAGTAAGAATGTGCTATGGAGGTTCGTCCCCCATATGCTTATGATTTAGCTTTGGCATTGACCTATCTTGTGTTACAGGTCCTTTGGGGTGTCTGATTCAAGATCAGGACTAGATTCAGCTTGATCCCTTGAGGGTCATCTTCTGTTATCACTGATAACAGGTCGATTGCCGATTCGTCGGTTTACGATTCAACTTCAATTCACTCCTGCCACTTAACCTAAAAGGCTTTAGTCTGTGATTGAACTGTTTTGTTGTGTTTTCACCCGGACTTTATTGAATGACCATCCAACAAAAGTACTGAGTATTTATTTAAGAGTTGCACGAGTGAGGCTTGTATGGCTAAAGCGAGGGGTATGAGTGTAAGGAATGGTTGAAGTTGACCCCGTGTAGTGCGTGGACTTTTGGTTGAATCTTTGATGTGATTGCAGGTGCGTTTGTGGTTCGGACTTTGGATGTGACTGTTTGCGATTACATACATATATGGCTGGAAGGAGCCCCACTGTGACTGTGAGAAGTAATCGTTCTATATAAATAAGCCTTACGTATATATTTATATGCACCTTGGGCATGCGCGCGGCTTGCTGTGATCGTGCGCAAGGGTTAGCCAGATTATGGGCTGAGAGAGAAGGAAGACCCTCCTCTATTTCTTGCTTTTTAGAAATTTTTATGGTTGGACGTTGTAGTCCGTGGCAGCCGTCAAAGTCAAACCCCTTGACTTTTGCCCAGGCCTGGAGTAGGACTTATCCCCAGGGCCGCAAGAAACAGCTGCCACCACAGGTGCGAACCTGTATACCACCCGCTCTGCATAAGGTGCAGAAGAGGGTGTGTGGTCTTCAACCGCGCATGGCGGTTGTCCAGCGCCACGAGATTAACCCTCAGTGCGCGTGTCAGCCGACACTTGAGTGTCGAACGCGACCCTCGAGATTAACGAGGGCCGCGTGAGTATGGGTACTACATAGTACGTCATCATTGCGACTGCTTGCGTACGATTGCATTGCTAGTCGATATGAATGGGCCCTGCGTCCGCGCGGTTTATACTAAGTCTCGCGCGCGACGCCTATCCGACTTCCGCGTCGGAAAGTTATGGGAGGGCTACTGAAGGGGCTAGGAGCGTTGTCGCGTTGTTTGTGTCGCGTTGTTCGGGTTGTGTCGTTTGTGCAATGTGTGTGTGTGCGTGTGTTTTATTTTTGTGTTTGTTAGAGTGGTGTGCGTGTGGTGTGTGGGATGCGTCCTAGTCGACCGACGACGGGCCGCGCTTGGGACTTCAGCCCCCCAAGATGTCGGTTCGCGTGCGGGTCCGATAGG